TTGGGGAAAAAAAAAAAAAGGCCCCCAAATTTGGGGGGGTTTTTTTGTGGGGGTGGGAAGGGTGTCCCTTTTCAAAAGGGAGGGGGGGCCAAGGGTAAAATGTTTTGGGCAACCAAAAAAGGGGTCCCCCCCCCCCCCCCCCCCCTTTTCCCCCGAAGGTAATCGCCTACACGCGGTCGAAGCTCCACTTCGCCATGCTCAGCCTCTTCCTCGAGCTGCGCGCCCTGCTGCCGAACGCCATCGTGGGAGCCATCACGAGAGAGAGCATGCGGAAGGCCCTATCGACCGGCATCAAGGGCCGCCAGGTGCTCGACTTCCTCAAGTGGCACGCCCACCCGGTCGTGAGGAGACGGACGCCCGTCGTGCCGGAGAACATCGCCGACCAGGTGGGTGTGGGTGTGTGTGTGCGCGTGCGCGTGCGTGTGCCTGTGCCTCATTGAAGTACGACCATCCCCGCTTTGAAGGACACAAAACTTCAAGACATCCTCCGCTTCAAGAACACTGACTTGTTTCCAGCAGTAAGGTGCCCCGCATAGTACCGTAGGGGAGGTGTCAAGTTTGACGAGACTTCCCCGCTTGAAGGACTCTGAACTTCAGTCGACATCCTCCGCTTTAAGAACACTGACTTTTTCCAGGAGTATGGTGCCCCACATAATACCGTAGGGGGTGTGATTGTGCCCCGCATAATACCATACGGGTGTGTGTAAAGTTTGAGGAGATTTCCCCGCTTGAAGGACAATTTTGTTTTAGAAAAAACATGCGTGTCGTCAAAGCAGGGGCAACTGGTGTAGCATCAACCGCGCTAGCCGCCTGACCAAAGGCGTCAGCGTTTGGCGGGACGAAACAGTAGGAACAGGCGTTGTGACCCGTGGGCGTTCGTCATATAGGGTGGCTGCGGAGGAGATTTGGGCGAGAGCGTCCAGCCTCAGCCTAACCCGAGTTCTCTGTCCATCTCTGTCTGTTGATTGGTGGGCGGGTGGTTGGTTACTTCGTTGTTACAGGTAGGTTGGTTGCTTCGGAACCTGGAGTCTTCGTTAACCAACCAAAAGCAACCACGATATCCCACAGCCAAGAGGCAAAAGAGAGGCGATCCCAAAACGTGGCCGTTAAGCGCGATCGTCACCTGAATCGCCCCCTTATGCACATGGGAATCCTTCAAAAAAATACTCAGGTTCTGTTGTGGGAACGGGAGCGAGATCGCATGGAACACCGAGACGGCGTTCTCGTGGACGTTTCATACGCCAGCCGCGACGCTTTCCGAGGCATGACAGAGTTCGCCAACGCGAAGCAGGGCCTGCTGTGGAGCAGCCCGCTAGGGGGGGAGGACGAAGAGGGAGGCGGCGGGGGCGGCGGCAGCGGTAGCGGCAGCAGCGGTGGCGGGCTAGCCGGCCGGAAAAAGCTCATGGTGGTGTCCCCGGGCATCGTGGAGAGTTTGAACGCGGCCATTGTCGAGAACGGATGGACGAGCTCGTTTTGACTGGGGCCGCGCGCCTTTGTTTGATTGGTGTCACATTTCTGAGTGTAGTGAGTATTCTGCCGACAGTACGGTAGACGGTGGGCACACACACGAGAGAAATGTCTTTCGTTTGTTCGTGTGCTCTTGCGCCTTGTTGTTGTTCGCTTGCTCGTGTATCTTTCGCCCGCCTGTCTCTTCACGCTGCAGATGTGACCGTTTTTGTTGTTGTGTTTGTGTTACTACATGTAATGTACTTTTTTGTGGTTGGTGCTTTCGGGAAAGTAGTGGTGCTGGCGGTGGTACTTGTAAGCTGTGGGTGGTGCTGGTCTGGCACGCTCTCGGGACTTGGTGTCGCCGCCGCCACGGCTGTGCTGCTGCTGCTGCTGCAGTCACCGTGTCGTACCTGCTGTCGATTGATGATGCCGATTGTATGAAAGATGGGATGGTGTGATGGTAGCGTTGTTTGTGGGAACTAGGGGGGAAGACTATGCCTAGAAAGTTTTAGCGTTTAGTTGGATTGACGTTCCGTTAAGACATCTAGAGTGGGATTTGTTCTTGTTTTTCCCGTGCAGCTTCTACAGGCACATCTCTCGAACGTCGATATGTCGAACCTACAGCTATGTACACGAATAGATGGAGAGGTGTGTGCGCCTAGAGCAAATGATTCGTTGGGTTCTCTGGCTGCGAGAGCCTTGGTGGAAAAAAAGAACATGCCAACTTCCAGGGCAGGCCACCCGACACGAGAGGACTCGAGTCGAGACCAAGAACAACGGAGGCAGCAGCAGCCGCAGCCGCAGCCGCAGCAGCAGCAGCAGCAGCACCTCTCGGTCCCAGCACACACGCACTACTCAAACCAACTTTTGATGTGATGTTATGGTGTGATGTGTGGATCCCAAACTGCGATTCTTCCACGCTGCCAAAGTACACGCGAATCCTGTAGAGGCACATGTCTCTCTCCCCTGCCCTCTTGTGATGATGCCTCCACCCCCCCCTCCCCCATCGCCGCCGCCGCCGCCGCCGCCGCCTCGACCCGCCTACGCGCACCGCACCATCTGCTTGCTAGCATCATCTCCAGCTAATGTTTCAAGGTACAGAATCGATTCAACACTTCAAGACGAGCCCACCACTCGCCGGTACAAAACAACACTAACGCAATCGTCCGACTTGGTGCACTCTCCTTCAGAAGATCTATGTTACGCAATGCCGTCGGTCTACATGACAACCACAGTCAGCCCCCCTCATCACTCCTGCCCAAAAACGATAAACGCCCACACATGATCTCATGGAGCGAAACCATAACACTAAAAATCAGGACCAAACACGAGAGCCCCCGCTTTATGACAAGTGACGGGGGCCGGCCCCCACCGCGCTATTCCGCCGCATCGGACAATCGTCCTGTTATCCTTAATTAAACGGCAACACCGGAGGTATCCGACGACAATACTATTAACTATTATTCCGCCGCATCGGAATCGCCCTGTTATCCTTAATTAAAAGGCAACACCGGTGGTATCCGATGACGATACAAATCACAACACCACGCGGAGACCAAAAAGCGAACAAAGAAAAAAAGGGTGCAAGTACACATCAAAAATCGTCTACATGTATGTTCTCTACGTATGGCGCCCGCTAGCTTAACCCAGAGGAGGAGGTTGATCCTCCCTCTACCCTGCTACTGACTGCTGCACACCGTCTCTTTTTACTTTGAGGGGCCACCCGCCCATCCTTCTCACGCTCTTATCGCGCCGAGAGTTTGCACCTATGGCGAACAGCCGCCGGGTGATGTGGAGAATACTCGTCGGCCGTTTCTGGTATCGTGTAAGACGTGTCAGGCTATCTATAACAACCAATTCGGACCACCCTTGGACCTGACTGCTGTGGTAACACAGCCGGCCCCGATCCTTCTCCGTATCTTACATGCCCGTTTGCAATCAGCAAAAAAATCTGGAATGTTGTTGGGCGTTGTTTCTTTTTTTTAAGCTACCCCGGTCGGGACTGTCTATCCCGACCATATTCATGCTTGAAAGGCAATTCCTTTCAGTGGTACTCAATGGCACGACAGAACGAAGTTCGATTGTCGAGCTGCTCTGCAGCACAGAGCACAACTAAAGTTCAGCAGCACGCAGTAGTACACCCGACGCGATCCTCCTGCCTTCAAGAATCAACCGCAGAGAGAGAAACCTGCTTGTATGGCACTGCCTCGATTCAGACGGCGACACAAAACCTTTTGCCTGCCTAACAAGACCATCCGAAAACAAAAAAAAGAAGAGGGTAGAAAAGAACGCGCGTTCTCTTAAAGCTGATCCTCTTTCTTGCTTTGGCGCCCGCGGCACCCCGGCGCCCGGCAAGCGCACTCCATAGCCACCGCCGATCCTCCTAGGCCGACGGTGTGAGGGGGCGGGTACGAGTACAAGAGCTCCTCTCCGGCGGGAATAACCCTCAGGGAGAAAAAGCAAACGCGCCTCTCTTGCGAGTCACCCTTGCCCGCGGTCACCTGCGGCGGGGAACAACAAAAGACAGAAGCGCAGGGGTAGATGTTGGCCGGGTTCGAGTTACTTCTACAAGCTGAGTAGCGGGGGGGAAAGGCATATGCGTGTGTGCCCATGTGGCGGGGAGCGACGTTTTTTTTATCGGAAAATCGCCTCCCGCGATCATTTACGCGACTTGGCGACACAGGGGTGAGCTTTCGGAGCACGGCAGTATAAAAGGCGGAAATAGTCCGCGACCTCGTGCTACATAAATCAACCATTTGTTCGAGAGTGCACCCACCAAAACTGTGTGAGAAATTGCTCCACGGGGAGGTCTCCCACCAGCCTTCGCGTACCCCCTCCCCTCTGTTTTCCAATCTACCGTGCCATCCATCCTCCCGGACCCGCTTTCTCACCACTGCTGCTACAGCAGGAGTCGACTTGTTTCCAAGTACGTCGTGTACCCCTATTGAGTGTGTTAACACGACCTAATGATCTTACGCTCAACAAACTATCTCGTGTACGGTTACAAAACCTGAGAAGCGCTCACCGCCAGCATGTAGACGTTTGGGTCGCACGAGTGGTTCAAGGCCCGAGCGAGGTTTCCCTTGCGAGTGGCGTCGATGAACATCTCGTCCTCCCCGAGGCGAACAACGCGTTCCTGCAGATCATAACAGCAAGAGAGAGGGCGCGGTAGTCCAGGAGGAGAGGCGTTACTGGAGGGAGGGGGGGGGGGTTCTGATGGCCATGCCTGCCTAACTAACGAGCGAACGGCCGTGGAAGAGTGCTGTTCACCCACCCACGTCGTGCTCATTCACCTTGGCGGGTAGCACTTAGCTACGCTTGGTGCCGCTGCAGCAGGATTAGGTACCCGTAGCAGCGTTAGGATAGAAATAGCCGCAATACCTTAGCTCTGCATACGTACGGTGTGGAGGGTTGCGGCATTCGGAAAACGTCATGCCGAGCATGTCAACACTTAGGTGCAGCAAAGCATCACGGGCCGCCGCTCAGGGCAACAGCTGAGAACACGTAACTGGCGTGGATGACCGCCGCCCCAATAGAACGGTGTCAGAGCGAGCTTGGACGTGTGCGACGGCACCGGGAATCATGACTGAAACGCAGAGCTGGTGCGCCCAAACATAGGCGCTAGTCACCTCCACAGCAGTTCCATCCTACGCACCCACGGTGTCCAGTGGCCGAAACCTGCAAAAATGTGTTTGTTTGCTACCCATCATGAACACATACTGATGACTTGAGTCGTACAACCCATTATAGTACGTGCATCGTTCGCTCGACATCATACCTGAGTGTTGGTCCGGCGGTACCCCTCGACTCGCTTTTTCGCCTCGTCAAGCTTAATGCGCTCCCCCACGAACTCGGCCACCAGCTCATGGGCACCGATGGCTTGGGTGGTGAAGACGCCGAACCCCTTTTGTTGTGATTTTCACCGTTTTTGGTGACAAAAATTACAAGCAAGGGAGACAGCCGGGCCGGCGCAACAGCCGCACAAGAGGGAGGTGGCACGGCACGCGTCAGGCACGCAGGCAGCGTATGCATATCACGAACGGAAGAAAGTCTGCGCATAACTTAAGAAATCGTGAAACTCGAGGGTCAGCGTAAATAAACGTTCATGTCTGTTGCTTTGCAACAACTACCGCCGCCACAAAACTCCGTCCGTGCAAACAGAAACATGGCGTGCATGTACCCACAGGCGGGCGAGTTTTTCGAAGCCCAGCTCTTTCTCCTACCCGACGCCCCCCCTCCTCCTAAACCCGTCTTCACCTGTACGGTCGACTTCCCCAAGCGTAGGCGTGTCCTCGAGACGACCGCGATCTCCTTCAAGAACCCCCGGAACGCGCGCAAGTGCCGCCCCGCCTCCTCCCCGCTCCGCTCCCTCGCCGCGTGGGCCGCCTGCAGCACCTTCCACTCGGGAACCACCGCCTTCGGAGCCTCGCCCTTGATCTCCTCCCCAAGGCTGGGATTGGTGCCGCTGGGTACCTGGCCGAGGGCATACAGGAGTTCAGGAGTAAAGACTAGGCGTGGACGGCAGCAGGGCGTGGGGACATGATTCGACCGGTGCCGGTGCGCATACCATGGTAACTTGATGCTCGAGAGCTACAAAAGCCTTGGCTCTCTGGCTCGCAGCTAGGCCTTCGACGACTCATCTCGTGAAACGCCACCATCCGTGCCGTGATATACGTTGCCACCCCCTCCAAAGTAGTCCTACAATGACAGGCAATCGACTCCCCCTTTTTGACGCATGCAACAGTCCGTGCGAACAGCGTAAGGCTTATTTACCGGCTGGCCTTCGGGTGACTGGGCAAGGAACTCTCCGTCCGGGGCAGCGAACTGCCGGGTCACCGGAGTTGGCATGGGAAGCGTGTACGCCCTGCGCTTGTGCAACGTGGGGAGGTCGATGGGTTCACACTTGGCGCTCCCGACCGGTCGCCTGGTTCGATACAAGTGCGAACAGGCAGGAAGGCGGCGAGTGGGGGGCCGTGATCAAGGCGGCGCCGCCGCGAAGGAACGAGAGCATGAGACATGATCACCTGTGCGTCGTGACGGCCTTTCTGCTTCCGCTGATGGTTTCTGCTTTCCTAATTGAGACAGCACTACAATAGGTTTTACAGCTTCTGAAGGGCGTCAGGTTTACGATGGTTGGGCATGCGAGAGGGAGAGTGAAATAATTCAAGAATCAATACCAACACGCCCCACACGTAACACTCGCACCACCAATCGCCTCAGCTCGTCAGCATTCGCGTCAAATAGTCGCTCCAGTGAGAGGTCGTCGAAACAACTCCTCCTCCGAGTGTTCTTGACAACACTCTTCAATCGAACGGTACACAACGCGGCCATGAAGGTGTCCCAACATGGAGCCTGTGGATCAGAAGCAGCTGCAACCAACACGCACGCGCTGAGCCTACGGCCGAGACCGCAACTTTCGTCTCTCCTGTCTCAAAAAAAACATCCGCTGTGTGTGTGGTCTTGGCTACACCCACCTCAAAGCCTTGTCGGTGCAGTCGGTCCTGTACAGCGACAGCGACTCCCTCAGCGCGCTCTCCTCCTCGCCCATCTCCCCGCGGGTGTACAGCAGCGCCGGGCTCGAAGCCACCGCCACCGCCACCTCGACCGCCGCCTCCACCCTCCCCCGGCGGGCCGCCAGCTCCCCCTCTGACCTCCTCTTCTTCTTGCCCCCTCCGCTGCTCGCGGCGGACGACCCTTCCTCCTTGTCCTCCTTCGTCTCCTGCTCCGCGCGGGCGCGAGCGGCCGCGGAAGCGCGCCTGATGGCCACGTGCATGTAGTACGCGTCCTCGTTGGCCGGGGTGAGCTCGAGGCCGGCGAAGGGCCCGTCGAGCGGCCAAGCATCGGAGGAGGCGGCGGGGCCCATGATGTTGTGCTGGGAGGCCTTGGTCTCGGCGGAGGCGAGGCGGTCCAGCAGGGCCTGCGCCTGGGGCCAGATCCGTTCCGCACCCTTGAGAACGTTCCTGGGTTTACAGTGTAACGTGCATTATTCATGGGCAGCGGCAGCGGCGGCGGCGGGAAAGCGGGGGTGTGGGGGTGGGGAAGGCTGAGGGGTCTTCGTGCGAACGATGGGGGGTATTTTTGGGTTGACCACGTTCAGGAACGAGACATTTGATAGGGACAAGGGAATGTGGAGACACCGTGTCTGTCTCCCTCAGGTCCCGTCCTAAGTCGACCAAACAACGCGCATGCTCAAGGTGCCACCGATGTCCTATCGCGTGGACCAAAACATGACTCCCACACGCAGGCAAGCCCGCTAAAAAAGGCACACGCGACTAGGTTGCATACGATACCACACCCCGGGGACCGATCTTCAAAAGCTCGATTACGCCACAATCAATGATACACGTGTTTGAAAAGCTCTCGACGAGACGGTTCCCAAGCCACCATATTTTTCACCGCCATCACCGCTTGTTCATCTGCAGAGTAAATCGAGCTTCGAGACAAAGGGGGTTGAGCATCTTACGCACCCCACGATATGTAGAATGCGCAAAAACACGTCCCCTCTTCCCCCTAAACTTACGTGGCCTCCTTGTGGTAGATGGTGCCGGGGCCGTTGAACGTCCTCGCGTTGGCGCACAGCAGCTGCACGTCCAGGGCGAGTTCGTGGATCGACCCGTACAGCTCCCACTGCGACCGCCGCCGGATGGTCGAGAAGTCGATCGGGTGCTCGATCGCCTCCGCGTACCCCTCTACGCCGTCGGGCACCGGGTCCTTGAACAGGTTGAGCGGGTCCAGCTGCTGCAGACGGTCGAGCGCGAGCGTGGTCACCATGCGCAGCAGGCGCCGCCGTTCGATCGGCAGCTGGCCGGCGAGGTCTTCTTGTTCTTGTTGTTGTGGTTCTGTCTCCACGTCAAGGCGACTGCCGCCGGCGCCGGTCCCCCGGGAGATGTCGCCGCCGCTGACGCCCCTGCCGTTGCCAACGGCACCACGAGACGTGCCGCCCCCGCCGCCCCCTTCGCCCCCGCCGCCGCTGCTGCTGCTGCCACCACCTCCGCGGGGGGAGGCATCTCGGCGGAAGCCAAACGCATCCCCTTCCCTGCTGCCCCCACCTCCTCTTGCCGAGCCAGAGGAGGCGGCCCCCCTCGCAGCGGGAGGGGAGGCCGACTGGCGACGCGCTTCGCTCTCCCGGGCAGCGGCTGCCGCCGCCGCTGACAGCTAGGGACGGCGGCCGACCACAACAACAACAACACAACACAGCGGTACGGGGTGAGGGGGGGAACTTGTACTCATGCAAACGCATGCCGGGGTCATCAGATCATTGACCTCGCATCCCGGGACGGAGCGATATGCAGGGTTTTGGCCGGCCCAGGCTACGTTTCACAAGGATGAAAAAGAGAACAAGCATAGGTCATCATCCTTGCGTTTGCTATGCCAAGCCAGCGGGGGCGCGGTGGGGGGGTCACTTGCTCCCTCAGCCTCTCGCCAAAACTGCTGTTTCGCCAGCTACGGAGAGGTCTGTTCGCGGTGCCTGCGTGCAGAAAGGTTGACAGGCGGCTAACGCCGACTAAGTCTTAGACCACTATTTAGCTTTCCCCAGACCCTCTCTAGAAGATGACGACGAATCAAGGCCAAGGCCAAGCGCATGCATTCGGTATTGTACTTGCTTGCTTGTGCCTGTGGCGGAGAAAAGCATGAGCGAGCAACTGAGAGCGGTCCTTCCACATGCACATCCCCCCCGACTCGCCGACACCGTACACAGCCACCCCACAAATCAGTGTTTAGCACAACCCTCGCCATACCTCGGCTGAGGACGACGACCGCTTTATCCCCGCGTGTCCCCCCCCGGAGCCCGCCGCCCCGCCTTCTGGCTCTCTGGAACGCCCGCCCGCCACGGACGCCTGCTGGCCGTTCCCCTGCTGCGACACAGCGCCCTGGCTCGTCAACCCTCCGCCTCCCGCCCACGTCGTCCCGCGCAGTGAAGAAGGGGGGCCGGCGCCACGCTTTGGGCGGGACCTTCGCTCCCGGCAAGTGGGGCACTCCCACTGGGCATACCACGAGAATTATCGGAGATGGGGGGGGTAGTTGGGGTCGATAAGAACCCGAGTGGAACATTGGGTAATCGAAAACACTGATGTAAGCAGCCGGGAAATCTCGATTCAGAATCATCTTATTTGTTTGGTTCCAGGGTACAGAAGCCTTGCAATTATAAGCCGCCTATTTGGGCGAGGGTCGTCTTGATGTCGACGACCGTCGCACTTGTTCCGTTTCATTCCAACACCGAACTCTGCCGAAGGGGACGATCAGAGTAACGCCAAACCGGAGATCAAAATACCAACCAAGGCGCAACCACGGTAACCTGAACGATAAAACACTGCATGACAAAAAAGCGCAAAATCAGCCAATCAGCTGGGCGAGGGCGGAAGGGAGAGGGGGGGGGTGGGGTTGGGGTTGGGGGGTGAGGGGACCAGACAGAGAACAATCAACCACGCCAGGCGGCGACGCAGCATTCAGCCCACATCCTACCTTGATGCCGCCCCCGACGAGGTCAGACTTTTCTATCCCGTCCTTCCTCTTGAGGCACGGGAAGCAGAAGGAGTGCATCTTCGCCAGCTCCTGGCTGGAGCAGACCATCAGCCCGCCGTCCGGGTGCAAGCGGCAGTACGCGCACACGTCCATCTTGCCCTCTTGGGTCGCTCGCATGTGTTTCAGGTTCCACATGCGGTTCTCCTTGCGCAGGGGGTCTTTCTTCCCGAGAGTGACTTTTTCGCGGTCGCCGCCGCCGCCGCCGCCGGCAGCGCTTGCCTTCGTCGCGGGTGGCGCGTCGTCTTGTTTTTCCTGCCGTGCGGGCCTGCCGCCGCCACCGCCGCCGGCCCCTCCGTCGTTGCTGCTACTCGACGAGGGGGGTCGGCGGACGTGAATCGGCCCACTCCCCCCCGACCCGGCGCTGCCCGGCGCCCTCCCGGACCCTCGGGCACCGTGCTTCACCCCGTTACTCTCGTCCCCCTCCACATCCATGTGGTCGCTCACCCTACCGCCGTCTCGGGTCTGCCCCCGGCCACCGGCGCTGCTGCTGCCGCCGTCGCGCGGTGCTTCGGTGTCTTTCGCCGGGAAGCCTTCGCTGGTGCCGCTGCCGTCGCCGCCGCTCCTGCTCGCTCCGCGCGGCGTATCTATTCTCCGCGCTGGTTGTTCCTCCTCAATGCTGCTCTCCGCCGGTTGAGACTTCCAGCTTGACGAGCCAATCTTGAGGTCGGACGACGGTACACGCGACCGCCAGCCATCTCCCGCAGAACCGAAAGCTCTCGACGAACCCTCCGCCCCCTCCGCCGCGTCCCTTTTCTCGACCTGTTGCGTGAGAGCGCGCTCCTCCTCGGCGAGCTCCGGGTACCCGGCTTCTGTCGCCACCTCGCTCGGCACGAGCCCCATCTCTACCATGGTGGCCGCCAGGCCGGCGCGGAAGGGTCCCGTCGCGCGAGCGCCGAAGCTCACCGCCGTGCCGTCGAAGACCCTGCCCGGGCCCAGCGCTCCGGCGAAGGGCGCCCCGAGCCTCCGCTTGTCGGTGTAGGCATGGTGCTTCGGCCTCTTCCCGGCTCGGGGCGAGATGGGAAGGTGCGCCGCCAGCGCTCCGAGATCCTCGTCGGCTTTTATTTTGCTGCCGTTCGTTCGCCCCCTCCGGTTGCTGGCGTCTTCGCCGTCCCCCGGTACGCTGCCCGTCGTTCGAGGCACCCCTCCCTCTCTCCCTCCCGGATTCACGGCTCCGCCGCCATCGCGGGCGGCGGCCTTCTGCTGATGAGCCGGCGTCCGGTTCCGCGGCCTCGGCCTCTTGGCGACGTTCCTCATCAGGATGTGCACGTGCTTCTCCTCGTACAGCAGGGACCGCAGGAGGAGGTTGTCCAGCTCAGGGGAGAAGACCTTGACCCGGCTGACTTCGCGCGGCGGATCCACCGCGTCGTTGACGTTGACCACCATCAGCGGCACGGTAGAGTACCCCTGCGCCGCCGCCACCGCCGCCGCCTCCTCCGCGGCCGCCGCAGCCGCAGCCGCCGCCGCGGCCGCCGCCGCGCGCTTTGGGTTCTTGCACCTGGCCTTCTTTTCGCGGCTCGTCAGCAGCGGTGAGGTCGTCACAGACGATGACCTCTCCCGCTGGAGCTCGCCGCCTTTAGGCTGCGATTTGGCCTTGTGGGGTTTCTTCGCCTTAGTCTCCTCGCGTTTGGTCATCTGCGTGCGATCCTCCGGCGTCCAGTTAGGCTCTTTCTGCTCGAATGTTTTTGGGGGGGGGCATCGGACGAAAGGTTTGCGCCATTTGTTTCCCGGATCGTTGGGATGAGAGGACGCGCGCGGGCTATACAATAAAGCAGAGGAAAAGGACCAAAAGTCGAACAACTGAAACGACAGCGTGTGGCGGTAGTATAGGTCTCGCACACGAAATATATCCCTCAAGACGGCAAGCGTGGCATGCCTTGCAGCAGGGACACAGCGCGAGAGTCTCCAGCGCGTGTATGCTACAATGGATGTAAGAACTTCGGATTGAGGCTTGTCTCCGTGACTCGGCGCCGTGCTCGTGCATCTGTGTGCGGCCCCGTGTCGCGACAAATCTGTAAAGTAGTTTCCTCACGGCAAACGTTCCTTTAGAAAACTCGGCTGGTCGTCTTCACGTGCCGGGATGCTGACGGCAGAGAAAAATTTCTGGTGTGAGTGTGTGTTCGTCCCATCTATTCTGGCGGTAGTTTACTCACCTTTCGGTGTAGATCCTATATCTGACGTAGGGAGGTCTTGTACGGGGCGAAAAAAAGTACGACGCTGCTATACATCCACAACCCCCCCACAGATGATCAACTCAGGCTTACCCCGGCTATCAGATTGACCCGCCCGGCGTCGGTACAGGATGGGCAGTACCACGGGTCCTCCTCCGTTTGGCGGTTGGCGGCAAGGTGGCTATCCGTGCCGATCGGGAGGCATTCCTCGTGGAACACCCGGGGGCACTCGTCGCAGCAGGTGAGGTCGCCGGACTCGCCGCAAGCACTGGGGAGCGCCGAGAAGAGGGACACGCGTGTTGTAGGGGGAGGCAGAGAAGGGTTAGGGGAAGAGGAGGGAAGCGGGAAGGCCTCAAGGGCCAAAAACAAAAGAAACACTAGGGTTGACAAACATGATGAGAGTCGACATTGAGTGTTTCTGCAGACGTCCGAGCGACGAGGCTGCTGGTAAGCGGGAGAACACTTCGGCGCAAGGTCCGCGGACCGTCACGCACTTCCTAACACAAGGCAGACAAGCGCCCTCGATGCTAATACGAATCAATAAAAGCCACACGCCTCCTTTGTCCCCCCCCCCTCATATCTTCAGCCACCTGCAGAAGAAGTGGTTGCCGTCTTCCCCGACCAAGGTTCCATCTTGCGCGATGCTCCACAGCGAGACTTCCGCCAGGAGCTCGTCCTTGACCGCCTGGGACGCGGCCTTCCCGGCCCAGTCCTTCCCGCCCCAAGGAGACCGTTTCTTCCCCTTCCCTTTCCCCTTCCCCTTCCCCTTCGCTCCGGAGGGACCCGTCCGCTCGGAGTCAGGCGGCGCCCCGCCGGCCGCTCCACCCGCTGAAGCACCGACGCCGCCGCCAGAACCACCTTTCTTGCCGCCGGAGTGCGTCGGAGTGGCGGCGCGGGGATGGCTCCCGGCCACCTTTGCGTTCCCGACCCTGAATCCCGCGGCAGGCGGAGTCACGCCGCCGACGCCGGTGCCGACGCCGTTGTTAATGTGGCCGGTGTTGGCTTTCGTGGAGCCGTGGTTCATCACAGCGGCAAGGCCTTGACCGGTCCCTTCTTTGTGCCCCTCCAACCCCTTGGCAACCTTCGCCCGCTTCTGGCCGCCCGCGTCCGCCCCGCCACCGCGAACACCGCTCGGTTTCTTCCCCTTCCCCTTGCGCGACGCCGATGACGCCCCGCTGGACATCTCCCCGCAGGCGCCCCGAGCTGGGACGTTGATCGAGAGCTGCGGCCGGACCGGGGGGACGGGTCTCTTGCCACCCGAAGCAGCAGCGGAAGCGGCAGCAGCAGCGGCGGCGGCGGCGATAGCAGCGGCGGCCGTAGCAGCGGCGGCAGAAGCAGACGCGCCGGGTCGGATGGCCCCTTTGTCGACCCTGTGGGGAGCGGGAGCAAAGCCTTTGGAAGGGAGGGAAGAGGAGGACGCGGATGCGACGCCGAGCATGCCGAGGCTGGTGGTGCCCTGGCCTTGGCCTTGGCCTTGACCTTGACCTTGGCCGCTTCTGAACCCGCTGGTGCTGCTGCCGCTGCTGACGCCAACGCCGTAAGCGGCGGCGCCAGCGCTCGCGCCCCCCCCCGCGGCCGCAAAGTACCCGGAAGCCGCTCCGGCGCCGCCGAGCATTCCTACTGAGGGCGGTCCCATCGCGCGCAACACGCCGTTTCCCGCTCCCGCCGAGCTTGCCCTCTGAGAGGTTCCAACGCCGGCACCCGCGGACGCGTTGAAGATGACGGACGCAACGCCGCTGCTCCCGCCGCCAGCTCCTACTCCTCCTCCTCCCCCTCCTCCTCGCGCACGAGACGTGCTGGTGCCCTGGCCGCCGACGTCGCTGATGTCGACCCAGGCGTCGCTGCCTTCTGGACCTTGTCCGGCACCGGGGTAGTGCCCGCTGAGCACAGGAGGCCTCAACAGGGGAACCGCCTGGCTCGTCTTGATCCGCACCGCCGGCTCTTTTCGCGAGAGGGGGCGCGTCTCGACCGGCGGCGGCGGCGGCGGCTCGGCCCGCTGCTGCTTGGCAGGCTGCTGCTTGGCAGGCTGCTCGACCTGGCGTGGCTGTTTGGGCTGTTTCGACTGCTGTTCGGGCTGTTTCGGCTGCTGTGTGACCGGTTGCGGCTGCCTCGGCTGCTGTGTGACCGGCTGTGGCTGCTTCGGCTGCTGTGGCTTCTTCTCCTCGGTCTTCTGCGGCTGGCTCGGTCCCTCGGGCTCGTCCGGCTCATCCTCCCAGCTACCGTTCTACCAAGAGACCGCAAGAAGGAATTCAGCGCAGACCAAAAGAGCGCGAGCGGGTAAGAAAGCAGCGTGAAAAACGCCCGTCCGGGCCAACGGCGCGGTGTGCACGAGTCCGCCAGCGGGAACGTTGGGTTAGTTAGGTACAGCAGTAACACGCAGAAGTTTGGCGATGGAGGGAGGGAATAAAGAGCGCGCTGTGGTCTCGCCCAGCGACGCCTGCACGGACAAGATTAACTTACAGTCGCCAATGCGTATCGCCTGCGCCATGTACGAAAAAACTAATACTTTTCCATACTGTCGTGTCTCTAATGAACGTGTATCACCGGTGCTATGCACGAAAAAAACTGTTTCACCTGCAAAAAAAGGGATAGCGTGAATAACGAAGAATAGAAACCAATTTGCTGCAACAGCAGCAGCTCTCCGCGATCAAGTCCAGACAAAGCTCTTGGAGTGCTTGCTGCTTACCGGGAAGTTAAGCGCGGGGTGGGTGTCGCCAAAAACCCTTTTCGCCTCCGCGTCGTAGGCTCCGGCAGCCTCCTGTAAGCGCAACACACACACACGAGGGACCCAGCGCAAAACACATCGTCCCACGAAGAGGGGATAACCAAGTAAGTAAGAGCCACAGCAGCAGCTTACGAAAAAGGCAGAAGAACGGCGACTTTCTCCTTCTTGAATCGACGATCGACCGATAGGCTCCGTGCAAGACAAATGCTGCAAGGTACGCGCGTAGTCATGTCTTTGCGTGGCAGGAACCCCGGTGCTGTGTCCCGAAACCAACCGCCGGCAATAGGCTCACAGTCACGCGTAACGGTGCTGACATCACTTTCATTCACGGGGCCGTAAAGTTAAGCGTGCGCGGAAGGAGGAGAGCGTGGCTTCCTTCACCTTCTCGGAATGGTACGAGCCGATGATCGCCTCGCGGCGGCCGGACCGCCTGCGGATCTTGGCCGTCCACACAGCCGTGCGGACACCGCCGATCCTGGTCGTGCCGCTCCAGTAGACGCCGGTATACCTGCACAGAAAGGAATGGGAGGGTAACATACAGACCCGGGGGGAATTCATTGCATACACTGTTGTCAAAACGAACATACTTTCTATTCGCCTACTATTTGGGCCATCAGGCCTGGGTCCAAGCCGTTCCTTCAAAATGGTATACCACGTGAACATTGCTTTTAAGTCTTAAACTTGGCCCGTGTGAAACCGGACTTGCATCGGGCGGGAAAACCTAGCACAGCAGCTCGTTTTTTCGCAGGATTACCGTGCGGGTCCTATTGCTGTACGTTTGTCCCGCAGGCCCCCAACAAAAGAAAACTAGAACCGCCCTCGACACACAGCACCCAACGGGGGGAAACGATACGTACTTGGATTCCTTCGGCCCTGCTTTGCCGGCGGCCTTGCAGTGCTCGCAGAACCACTCGTCGTCGGGGATCTTGCGGAGGGGGGGGTCCACGCAGAAGGTGTGGTACTCGCCTTCGCAGCCGTCGCACAGGAGGATGAGGTCCTGCTTGTCGTTCTTCTTGCACACGAAGCAGCCGCCCTGGTCTAGCGGGTGACCGTTTGGGTCGCCCGCTTGGAGGGAATCAGGGACGGCCGGGTCGGCGGCGGCGACGGCGGCGGCGGCTTCGCCCGATAAGCTGTTGCTGCTGTCGGCGGTGTTCGTCGAGGCGGCGGCGTTGTTGCCGCTCGCGGTTTGGCTTTCGCCATCGCCGGAGTCGCCGCCGCCGCCGCTGCTGCTGCTGCTGCTGCTGCTATCCCCGCTGCTGCTGCTATCATCGTCGCCGCTGCTGCTGCTATCGCTGCCGCTGTCGCTGCTGCTGTCATCGGTGCTACTTTCGTGGCCTTTGACGTTGTTCCTAATGCTGTCGTTGGCGCCACGCGCGAGGGCCGCGGGCCTCGACGAGCTCGGCGGCTTCTCCATCGTTTCTCGTCTTCGCTTGGGGGAGTTGAAGTGTACCGCCCACCACACAAACGAGGGTCTAATACCGCTTCTCTCTCTTCCGATCGCAGACCCGTTTTCTTGTTTGGGTGAATACTGAGGGAAAACTGCTGCCCGGTCTTCGCTTTGTTTCTCGTCTCGCCTCGCCTTCGATCGAGCCCCCTAATAGTAACGCAAGAAGTAGCAAACCAGCAGCACCGAAAACGGTAAACTTGTGTTGAAACAAAAGACGCTCGAAGTCTCCAACACTGGAGGACACGAGAGGAAGTTGCTGCGGTTTGCGAGAGTAGTTGCATTACCTCAGCTCCGTGCGAACCTCTATGTACGACGCACGACATGTGTACATACGGATCGTGGATACGACGATATTTGCGACATGTTTCAGGTTGCGGCGGGATTTTGCTTGCTAGCCTCGGGGTCATTCACAATTACTAACCAAGCCAAACTGTTTCCACACGCACCCAAACAAGCAACATCATTGGCCTCGGTCGCTTCCCCTCAAACTCTAATACATCGATATATATGCTACTTCTTACAACCAAACCTTTGGATTTGAAATCCGTGAGCGACACACAAGTTTACGCACAGCACAGAGAGTGTGGCTGCTGTAGGGAGTGCCGGTGCCGACAAAAAAATACTGCCCGGGCTCAAGGAAATCCGATCATCGATTGCGCCCCACGCAGAAACAACACAATATGCGTCCATATCTTGACGATTCCGGTGTAAGTGAGACAAGGATCCATGTACGCGTAGAGGCGGTGGGTGCCCCTGTGCCCCCCGGGGGGTGGGTGTCTGTCCCTAAAATCTCTCTACATTACAAAAGCAACAGGACGCACGAGTACAGAGAGGGGTTGGATCACGTGTTCGCGTCCACACAACACAAGCTGATTGGGAAACGCGCGGTGCGATGGATTCACCTGTGCGCCGCGTTAGAAGATGATGGCGCGATGCAGGGATGAGTGATCAAGGCCGCCGTACGGCGCAAATGGGTTGAACCCAAGGCGTACGTAGAGACTTTGTCAGGCTTTCCTACGATATTTTTGTGTCCCCGGATCTCTCCTGCCTTCCGGTCGCTCTGTCCGCATCTCTCTAGAAGCTAGATCGAGAGTCCGTGCTCTGATCCACTGGTTCTCAAGACAAAGAACACATGTACTATACGTTTCGGTTAAGCGATTGGTACCACCGTATTGGACTACGTATTACAAGCTCAGAGCTTTGGTTTGATTGGTGGGAAGCGAGTGGGTTTTTTTTTTTTTGTGTGGACTACAGCAGAGAGTTTTTTTCCCGCTGTCCTCTGTCTGACCCGGCCGGTGCGCCGAACGCCAAACATCCAAACATACACCGAAAGGTGTAGACTGGCGCCCACAATAGACGGAACGACAACACGTGAACATACAGAGTAGTTTTAGTGTCCTGCTGAACGACATGTGTCCAACGAACTGATCCAAGCAGAGTACACGGGTTCTCCCTCTGTCTTTTCTACGCCGCCTCCCTGTCAATCGTGGACCTTTTTTGACCCTCTTGATGATGTTGTCAATCAAGAGCTCACACGCTTTCGATACACTTGCACACGCTATGAACGAAAAGTGTTTTACCTATCGGTGTACAATCTGGACATGAAATCGTTGTATAACACTCATGCGCACCACACCTTGTAAGGTGTGAGTGAAACAAAAAACACAAAAAGCGGTTCAATTGATGATACGCTACCGTAACAGCCGTACATATCTAGTAGTCTACAGTCAAATCTCAAAACACCGCCTCTCTCTGATGTTCATTCATACATAAGTACAGTAAGCACTCTTGCCCCACGAATCTCCATTCCAGCCTCGAAAACGTTTGGCTCATTCACCCTCCACCCTCCACGGATGGACAGCAGCATAGTCTAAAATATCGTAATTAATTCCGGAAGTACTAAATTACTCCAAATCTTGGCGATCGCTACGGCTCCAACCCGCACGCTTACCCCCCCTCTCTCCTTTAAAATACCTTGCAAATGACTAGGCATGTAGGCCTGAATACTGGAACGAATGTCCATCCCTTCACCCCGCAACAACCGCTACAAACGTAAAATAGCCTACGGCTGGAGTATGTAGCGTCGGGTGGGTCGATTCCTCATTGTATTCCAACACCACCACGAACAAGTTGCCAACAACTACTACTGCACAGTGCTGTGCATGGACGCGGGTCTGAAACGTGACATGCCGTGCCTCTGCGCTGGTGCGTCCATTGTGGGGGCGCGCTTTCCCTTGTCGACTACCTGTGCACCAAACCCCACGTAGTGCGGCACCTTTACGCGATCTCACACATCCCGCCCATGAATTTTCCGTACAACTCAAAAATTTCAAGCGATGGTTGACACGTCGACGTAAATCATGACATTCCACCTCTGGTAATAAGAAGACGGGTATAGACACACCGTCGGCCGCGCCGTTGCTTCACCGTTCTCTTTAACGGAAGTGAAGTTCCCTTCAGTCTAAAGTACACCAGTTTCTCTTCTAGGCAGACGATAACGTGAACTAGTCCAAGTTGATGCCGCCGCGCGCCGCCGAGAGCCATCGCGCACCGGATCTATCACGGAAGGTCGCTCGAGGCGCACGAACCGACTGCCTCGTCCCCCAACCCTCCACGGGTCCGCCGCAGCCACCGCCGTTGCTGCTGCCGCCTGAAAGGGTTCGCGAAGAGGAAATAAGCTGCACGCGTGACCTATCTATGAAGTACTGCGTACCGTGGGGGGGGGGCAACGTTACCCACCTACGCTCAGCGTGTTAGGTACTCACAAATACCACGGCAAAACGGGATTTTGTCTGGCCGGGGCGGGCTTCGAACGAACCCTATTCCGTTGGAGCTTGAAAAAGCTACCGGCGGGAAAGATATGCACCGCTCGAGACCCGCGAACAACATCTAGAGAGAATCGAACCTTGGCAGCCGGCGATAGGCGTTTCCGGCATACTGCCCCAGGTCGGATCGTCCCGCCTGCCTTTCGTTCACTCATGGTCGTGGCGGGGGGGTCTGGGGGGTCAGAAACCACCCCAGCAGTTCCTCTGGGCAGCTCCGACAAGTAGAGGGCAGTGCGTGGGGTGGAGAACCGCGGTTTGAGAGTCTTGTAGCCGTCAGCGAGGCGTCGGGTATCGAACGGCGTGCGGCGGACGCGGAAGGGGATGGACGGCCGTGCCGGATCGGCATCCCCGGCTCCTCCCTGCGGCGCGGGAAGAGTGAGGCTCTCGGCGAGTTCGATGGCGTAGGTGCCCGGCCCCAGGTTGGGGTTTCCGTTGACACGCCAGTCGGGTTCCTGGGTGTTGCTGAAACTCGCCGCATACCTGTTGTTACGTTGGTTTGCATGCGGAGTGTGACGGGGGGAGAAGAATGAATTGAATATCAAGAGAGAAATGGCTTCATCGAATGTATGTTGGTATTTGGCCGAGAATACAACAGGCTTGCGAAGGACGGTGAGTAGACTTTGACACGGCAAGAGTAGGTGGTTATTCTCTCCGTGCACAGCTAGTTGAAGAAAGCTCCCTGGAACTCTTGTGCGAGACCGGCTTCTTGGTGCCGTGACCACGGCAGTGACGTTAGCTTGACGCCATCGGCTGAATACCAGCTCAGCAATGCTTCCACTTCCACGACGGTCGTGTTGTTCTCCATCCGTTTCCCAAGTTGATTGATCCCCAAAATCTAGCACCCCCGCTTGTCCCATCTTTCATGACTAGTTTTTTTTTCACAGGCCAGTCAACAAGCAAACAAAACCTAGCCATATCCGGATCTCCCTCCCGATTCCCTGCCCTGTCACCGCTTATTCTACGTCGACCCACCTCTTCGGGTGTCGTCGCATCGCCGTCGCAAAAGATTCTTTGCCGAAATGGTCAAGTTCTAGGCGAGTCATGTATCGTAGAATCTCCTGGGGTAGATACGACTTGCATTCCCGGGGGACGGCACGCTCGATGTACCCCCCTCGACCCCACGCGTCTTCCACATCGTCCCAGGGTCCCTGGTTGGGGGACGCCCCGCTTGACGGCTCTTTGGTCCACCTTTTACGGAGGCACATCAGGGTGGAGGGTCGACGATGAACGACACACGTACAATAACCGACGATATTAGTGATTGTTGTTTTCACACGTGATTGCTGCCGGGAGAAGTCTGCCCAGTGCCAAAGGCCCGCAAAGGAAAACAAAGGAACTTCCCTGCGCACCCAAGCAGAACGGAACATGCGGCGGGCCGCGGCGAGGTGGGTGTGCGGATCATCACCGACGACAACGGGGAGGATGAGATAGGCCGTGACTTCTTCCCGAAAAACCGTGGGAATACGGAACGGAGACCGCGATAGAGTAAAAAACAAGCCTGGTGCGGGTCTCGGAACGGTGGCCAAATAACCCGCGCTCACACGTTAGACTAACAATGACACACGGGGGTCCAGTAGTACCTCACGGTGGTCGAGAATTCCAGCCGTGCCGACCCTGTCGAGGTAACCGGCCTCGCTTCGTACTGCCCAGGTCCTATCGCAGAACCTGTTGTTTGTCCTAATCCACGACGAATATAGGAATCGTAGTTGCACTTCTCACGTGGAAGCGGCAAGATCATCGAAGCTTTGGACGTAGCGTCGATGCCCGGAGACGTGTCGTAGTATCCCGGGCCCATGAGCTGTATGAGGAAGTCGATGGGGACAGAAACATATTCGTTCGTGGGACCGGAGGCAAGAGAGGGTGGGGGTAGGGGGAAAGTGGCCCACCTGCCAATAGCCACTTGACCATTGACCATGCACTCCTTTCGGGGTTCACCACTACTACTACAAATAGACCTGCCACCAAACTATGTAGTAGGTGCTCTCCATGCCAAACACAGCCAGCCACGGTCTTGCCTCTTTCGCCATGTTGGATATTTACGGACACCGTTCATCTTCTAGACTAGTGAGGTATCCCACTACACTTTGCACGGGTCATAACTTCAGATCCACCTACTGCACATCCCTATTCCATTCCTGGGGATGCTTGTTTCATCCCTAATAGTTCACCACCCCAACTACGTGACTTCGACTCGAACGGCTGCGGGGGGGGGGGGGGGCGTCGTTCTCTCTACGTTACGCGATAACTATACATGGTGCTACCGTGGCAAGAAAAGCAGCAACAAAGTACGTTGATCGAAGCCCTCTTTTTGCATCGTGATACCTCTTGCCGTTCTAGGCCCGCGGCATCGTCGGCGAATCGCTTCCCGTAGCGAGACAATTTCGGGCAGCGGATCTCCCCGCGCTTGACCCGACCGCCGAGAGTGGACTTGTGACCGATGTCCGTCTCGTAGATGCCGTCGTGAATGCGATCAGTGATGGACGTGCGGATAAAGGGCTCCAACCCTGCGTAGGCGCTTCTGGGGCCGCCGGTGAGCGTAGACGAATCGCCGTCGCTAAAAGCCTCCGTGGAGTGGAACCTCCGAGGCACAAGCGAGCGAATGGTGGATACCGTGGAAGGACATTCGTCCACCGCCCTGGCGGTTCGATGTTGAACAGTGAAGCGCGTGCCAAGCATGTGCAACGTAAATGTTTTCAACTGTAGGAATGTAGGTCATGTGCAGATACGTATGTGTCTCGCTTAGTACTCAACGAGGAATATCTTGCTGTGTCAAATGCTGGAAAAACTTACGACACGCTTTTTGGTGACTAGTCTACTGTGGCTCCTAGTGAGGCCCCATGCTCAACATGCATTTTAGGATGCAAAGATAAAGATGTTGCGCGAGAATCTCTCTAGAAGCTTAATGTGTGGGTAGCGCTCAAGACCCCTTCGTTTCAATCATCTGACAAATATATGTCGTCGTACGTGTACTACAGCGGCAGAGAATCTTATAACAACATGGACTGCTGTATCAATTGCACGTGAATGTGTTGCAAAAGTACAGTACACACATACATTTTGTCATGTAAGAAGTGACTTTGTTCTCTCCGACCAAAGGAGATTGAGGGACCTTGCATTACAACACGACTAACGTGCCACGGTCAGAACTATACAATGTACTCATCGAATGCATAGTGCAACCGTCTCATGAGACCGTCCGCCGTCCTCGACAATGACCGTGCGAAGCGTGCATGTGTTTGCTCCTTGACAGGACAAACGATCAATCCTCTAGACTATGACAGCATCCGCATCGTCTTTCGTGAAATTTATGCGCATACTTGCGTACGCACAATGCAAACGTCGCCGGGTCTCCCTGATTCGTTCTCCGGATATCTCGCTCAGCCTCCTCTCTCTTGCGAGTAACCTTGGGTCCCCAGAAAAACTTCTTGCTGTGAGATGATGATGATGATGATTGCGATGATGGTGGTGGTGGTGCCGTAAAGACCCTCTTGCCGGATACCTCCGCTTTCCAAGAAGAGCTTGCGGCCTGTGTCACTTCGGTGTTCGCGTGGCTGTTGTTGCCATCACCCCAGCTCCAAGCTCCAGTCGTTGTTGCGACGCTGCTGGCGGCACTCACGTTGTTGCTGTCATTCGTACTCCCTGCGGTGTTTTCCCCCCCGGTGATCACTGCAGCAGAGATTCCTCTGCGTTTGTCTTCGCCGCCGGGAGCCCTTTCCGCCGTCGAACTCTCGAAAGCAACGAAAGATTTGTTGTGCACATCACGCTCGAGATGCTCGATCGAGTCGAACCTGGACGGAGGGTTCGACGTGGATCGTGCCAGAAAGCTGTCCCGCCCGCCATCGTAGAAGCGAGTTACGCTCATTGCCTTTCCAACCCTACATTGCAATCGACTGTCTGTACGTAGACTAATAGTGTGAAGAACATACGTATTACATGCTGCATCGGTCGCGCAAATCATTCTGACTCTGCATCGGTTTCAAAAAAAAAAAAGGCGCGCGCGGGTCGCAGTCTACAACATCATTGTGAGTTGGTCGAGATATCATTGTTTGCTGTTGTTGCTGTTATGTCGTCTTCGTATGTACGTAAGTAGAGCACATTACTGTATGGCCGACCATTTTGAGGGGTGGCCGGTCGCTCCTCCCGTGGTGTCGATATCTACTATTATTACAGTCTATATAGTCAAGGTATATCCTGGGTTTCTGGGACCCTTTGAAAGTTCCTTCCGCACGCCAAGAAGAGAGATTTCATCACGGCGCGACAAGTTGTGTCGGAAGGCCAATCGTACTATTATTGTTGTGAGTGCTGCCAGAGAGCGAGGATTGGGTACACCCTTTCTCGTCATTGTATCAGCACATACATTGAGATCGTGCAGCGAAATCTCCCGCGTGTGAAAGCTACAATGGCTAGTCGGCACTGTGAAGGAAAGGATAAAGCCTACAGTCAAGGATTTAGTGTGCTTCGTTCTTCTCTACTTGTCTCTACTGGTAGTTTTTTTTCTGGGACTTCGGAAAGAACCCAAGAAAAGTTAGTTGTCTAGAGATGTTGTTGCTTTCTCATGGCGACTACTGCTTGCATATGATGTTGGGCTCGCCAGTCGTTGGCTGCGACCGCCCCTCCATGTGCGTTTGCCCGCAAACTACCCTCCTTGCTGCGCGCCGCATACAGAAGAAGCACAGCAGTGGCCACAAACCCGAACTATTTTCTACCGAGTAAAACGAAGTGTCTTGCCCTCATTTCGCACTGCACGGGCACCCAGGTGTGGCCGCGTGATGTCGACTCCAGTTGTACACAGAGAAAGCCTCACGGGCGAGATGTAGTATGTACAGATAGTCTGGAAAATATAAAACTCCAGCGCATACGTACCAGCTGTCTCACACAGCCACAAAAATCCACGCGAACGAAGATGCAAACAAAAAAATGTGATTTGGCTTTACTGCATATACTGTGTGGCACACATTCGAAACCATGCGTTCACTCCCCTACTTCCAAACCGACAGGAGCAAGCCTCGTGCAAAAAGAGGCAACAAAGCCCAACCAAAAGGGAAAGGGCGGGGGGGCGTGCATGCACGAAACACACACGCGGGAGCAAGAAAAGCTTACCGCGTATAACGCTAAAAAAGAATAGGAAACATGAAAGGACTACAGACAGACCTGAAGCGATGGGGGAATTGTAGCAGCCATCAACAACTCCACGAGCCCCCTCCTATTGATACAAGCAGGATCCCGGCAGATATGGGAGTATTTCCCAGTCCCAAACCGGAACAAAACCAAACATTCCGCGAACCCCACGAAAACGATGACAAAAACTATTGTACGAATTACATCTCCATTTGGCGTTTGGCGTTGCAGGCGGGGCTAGACGCTAGTTCAGAATCTCACAACACGTCTTCATTCTTCGCCAGTAAAAGAGATAAAAAACGAACTGCAGAATACGATATCATACAGACCAAAAACAGGAGGTTTAATTACGCCTCCGAAATACTTCCCAACCTCTGCTACAACTCCACCGAACACCGATGGCAGGCCAAACAGGCTGGAACAACCCAAAAAAGCGAACAAAGCGATTAAACCAATCAACTTTCACAGCCGACATCCAAAATCGATTCATTTCACCACCGCCCCCACCACGCCACTTAAAGGTGTGCTCTTGATACTGTCGTAAACAAGTCCTACACAAATACGGCCAAGGGAGAGAGCAGCGGGTGTGTCACGAGCGGACGCTTGCTCGCTACGACCACTATTAAACGTACGACGACACCAACAAACTTGCGCCGCAGCCAAAAACAAATCTCAGCCGCTCTTGGCCAGCTTAGCCAGCTTAGGCGTCCTCGCGAGCAGCCACAGGGACGCCGCTAGCGAGCAGAAGTGGCTCAGCAAGGTGTTGGTGTTGGCCTGGACGATGAAAACGTCCAGGGCGCGGAACTGCGCCTGCGCCACCTCCGCGGCACCGGCGGTGCCCACCATCACGGAGGGCTGAAAACCTGATAATATAACAGTACAATAAAACGAGGGTTAGCAGTGGTCCACGAAAGGCGTACTTGGTGGTGGGGCGGTTTTTCGCCCCTGCGATGTCCGTGTGCTCGGTGCGCTGGGCAAGGGCGGCAGCACGCGGCGAAAATACGGACACGTCGAAAATGAAGAGAGGCGTGTTGCGGGGGGGGGGGGGCGTACTCATTTGTTGCTTGCCTTAATAATTTGACCATTGACCACGCGTCCCTTTCGAGACGGAGCACCGTTCCTACACCTACTAGAGACACCACCAACATTTGGGAGCTCTTTACGTTTCTGCCACAAACTCCATAAAAATTTCTTGCACATCTTATCCCCGTCCTCTAGGGCCTCTTGTGCCCACCATCTATCCCCAATTATCGCGATCGTTTTTTCGCTGTTGTCTAATTTACCAAACTTGTCCATGTCACACCCTCTCTGTCTCATTTCCTCCTCGAGATCCTCTCTTTCCTTCCTGTACAACTCACACTCCCCAACGGGGGGGGGGGGGGGGGGGGTA